GTTGCCGAACGGGCCTCCCCCCATCCCGCCGCCGTCCCCGAACGGCGCCATCCCGGAAAGCCCGCCCCGCGCCCGACCTGCAGACCGGCACCGAAATGGCTTTGCGGTGGCGGCGGCGGCGGCGGCGGTGTGGCTAGGGTTAGGGGTTTAAGCGGGGGCGCGGGACGGGGGAGGGAACGGAAAATTTTGGGGAGCGGCGGTGCGGTGGGGTGGCAGGGCAGGGAATGGGGCCCTGGCCCTGGGGTGGCGTATATATAGGCGTGGCGCAGGTCAAAGGGGCGGGCTGGGCGGATGGATAGCGACGGCGAGCCGGGGACGGACGGGACAAAACGGCGCGGCCGTTACTGGCGCGTGCTGGGCCGGTGGGCGCGGGTCGCCGGAGCCGCGGCGGGGCCGGCCCCGGCTGTCAGCGGAGGAGTGGAGTAGGGATGGATGCGGTCGTCACGGAAGGATATGGAGCGGGGGGTGGCGTGTGCGGGGCTGCGCGGCGCCGTTTCTGCTTTTTCTTTTTTATTAATAATAATAACAATAACATGGTACATACGCAACCGCGTTCGGACGCGCATCACCGGAAATTCTGAAATAAATCCGGAATAAATGCGAGCAGTGGAACTTGACTCCTGATGGGCTAGGATAACACTGTCCGCCTAACCATCCATCCAACCATAGGATAAAGCAACTCCACCGAGTAGGGCTCGAAAGCCGGGGACTCTCCTGGCAAAGAATCTGAACGATCTGGGTTATTTCTGAGAAAGAAGAAGATGCAAGGCATGTATATATCCAAGCCTGAAGGCGACGTGGAGTGTTATTATTATCGTTACTCCAGAGAATGGGAGGTTGCAAAATGCGAGATCTGTAATCTAGATGATTCTGGTTGAAGGGGGCGATGCAGCCTAACGGTTACGAACTTTTTGTTTGATGCAATGAAAAGGGAAGGAGGTGACCAGGTTCGTGCGGGCGGGGGCCGGGTTGGGGTGGCCCTTGGCTCCCCTGATCACCGTCGAAGCTGCCATGCGTGCGTTTGTGTTTTTTAAAGACCTGCTTGTTGATATCCTTCTTGGCCCTGGTATAAAAATCAGTCAACAAGTGGCTTTCAATGAGATGGACATCAGTCAAACGGGTGCCTTTCAAGGAGATCCATATCGCTAGTCTTTCTTAATAACAAAGAAAACGATGTGTTGTATTCGTGCTCTTTGATGTCGGTTCGGGTAACAAAGAATGCCGTTTTGTTTTAAATATGGTGGCGCCCTCATGTTAGGGCTTTGTTGACGGTGGTGTTCCGTTAGCGTCTGGTCCGGTCCAGACGTCCGTTTGTCTCCCCTCACGTACTCCTTGGAGCGACCGTTTTCGCGTGCATGCGCCATGCGGCGTATATGTCACTTGCGCGCCGAACGTTACGTTGCGTCTGCATGTCCCATGCACGTATACGTCTCACGCGGATCACGACACCTCGGAGCGCCTAGCGTGTGTCTCCACGCGCGTAAGGGGGTAGTTACACCTAAAAAGGCATGCCTTCTTAATTATTGATGCCTGTATTGGGAATCTGATGACGACAACTACAAATTTGGTAGTTTTGTCGGGTTCTTCTGATCGAGCGGCTATGGATTGATAACCGATATTAGTGGGTTTATCTATCGTGGCTTTCAGAGGAGGACGGAATTAGGGGGCAAAAACTTTGTGTCATGCAGATATTGGTTATGGTGCCCACCATAATGGTTGACTTGGGGCAAGCCGGTGCTAGGATCTAGGAGGGTTCATGTGATGGTTGATCCGATCAGGCTCTGATGGTGACCACTGAAGTTGCCATTCGTTCACTTGTGTGTTTCAAAACCTACATAGAAATCAGTCAACAAATACCTTTCAAGGAGATCCATGTCTTTCATCTTTCTTAACAAAGAAAATGGTATGTTGTGTTTGTCTTGTTTGATGTCTGAGGTCAGGGTTATCTTCGTCGGAGGCTTGCAGGAATCCATTTGTTTTAAATATGGCGGTGCCCTCATCTTAGGCTTGTCGGCGGCGGTGTTCCGTTAGCTGCTGGTCTAGTCTAGGCGTCTGTTTATCTCCCCTCGCGTACTCCTTGGAGACAGATTTCACGTGCATGATCCATGCAGCGTATACGTCACTCACGCACCAAACGTTACACTGTGTTTGCATGTCCCATGCACGTATACATCGCCCGCGTAAGTGGGACAGTTACGCCTAAAAAGGGATGCCTTTTTAATTATTGATGCATGCCTCGGGAATCAGATGACGACAACTGCAAAATCAGTACTTTTGTGCAGTTCTTCTTCCCGAACGGTTATGGATTGGTAACTGGCGGTTGGGTTACCTATCATAGCTTTTGCAGGAGAACAAAATTAGGGGACAAGAACGTTGTGTGATGCGAATATTGGTCATGGTGCATACCGTGATGGTTGACTTGGATGGAACTGATGCTATGATCTAGGAGGGTTCCTGTGATGGCTGATCCGTTTGGGCTCTGATGGTGACCACTGAAGTTGCCATTTGTTCGCTTGTGTGTTTCAAAGACATAGATAGAAATCAGTCAACAAGTACCTTTCAAGGAGATCCATGTCTTTCCTATTTCTTAACAGAGAAAATGGTATGTTGTATTTGTGTTGTTTGATGTCAAGGTGACGATTATCTTCGAGAGAGGCTCACGAGAATCCATTTTGTTAAATATGTCGGTGCCCTCACGTTAGGCTTGTTAGCGGCGATGTTCCATTAGCTTCTGGTCCAATCTAGACGTCCATTTATCTTCCCTCACGTACTCCTTGGAGCGACGGATTTCACGTGCATGATCCATGCACCGTATACATCACTCGTGCATCGAACGTTACATTGCATCTGCATGTCCCATGCACGTATATGTCTCGCGCGTAAGTGGGGACAGTTACGCCTAAAATGGGACGCCTTCTTTAACCATTGATGCACGCCTGGGGAATTAGATGACGACAACTACAAAACGAGTACTTTTGTCAGGTTCTTCCTCCCGAACAGTTATAGATTGGTAACTGGCGGTGGTTGGGTTACTATCTTAGCTTCCGCGGGAGAACAAAATTAGGGCACTGGAATGTTGTGTGGTGCAAATATTGGTTATGGTGCATACAGTAATGGTTGAGTTAGGTGGAGGTGGTGTCAAGATCTAGGAGGGTTTGTGTGATGGTGGGTGGCATGGAATGGGTTGCCAGTACAAAAAACGTTGGCCATCATCACAAATTGTATGGTGGTGGTGGTGTGTCACAGGTGGTGCGCTATTTCGGAAAATGGAAATGATGGGGTTTGCTTTTGTTTTCTAAGGCCTGGCTGGTGAGACCTTCTAGGCCTTGGATAAAACACACACAACAATTACCTTCTAAGAGAAGATCCCAAAGATTGCAATTGAGTGTATCTTGTCACTAGCATAGAAATGCTTATCAGCAATCTACGTCAGTGACGCGCCTTCAAAGAGACACGCCAGTGGTATTTGCCCAAAATACCGGTGGCATACCAGAACGAGCACACGCCATCAATAACAGCTTGCTAGTGGCGCGGCGAGAAGTACATACGCCACCAATTCAAGGACCCAAGCAGGCTAACCCTCGTGTAATTTATCAATGGCACAATACCTTAAGACACACTACTAATGTGCCAGCTACTAGTGGTGTGTGCATGGGCCGTGTGGCCCTAGGTTCCGATCGATGGTGATCGTTGAAGTTGTCATTCGTTCGTTTGTGTATTCAAAGCCTTGGTTGGTGTTGTGAGATCTTCTTGGCCTTGGGTATAGAAAGTTAGAAACTACTCATCAAGTACCTTTCAAAGGAGAAGATCCATGACATTCATCTTTCTTAACAAAATGGCCGGTTGTATCAATGTTTTTTGGTCTCGAGGTCGGGGCTATCTTCGCCAGAGGTTCGCGCACGAGATCCATGTCCTCGCGGGAATGTTGTTTGTTTTAAATATGTCGGTGCCGTAACACATTAGGGTTTGTTGAAGGTTGTGTTCCGTTAGCTTAGACGTTTGTGCGTGTGTCTCCCCTAGCATACTCCTTGGAGTGATGGGTTTCATGTGCATGCACGATGCAACCTCTCGGGGGCCCTAGCATGTGTCTTCAAGCGCGTAAAGGCATGCCTTCTTTAATTATTGATGTACACCTAGTGAACCGGATGACGACACTACAAAATTAGTAGCTTTGTTGGGTTCTTCCGCTCGAGAAGTTTTGGATTGGTAAGCGATATTAGTGGGTTTATCTATCATAGCTTCGAGTGGAGAAGAAAATTAGGGGACAAGAACTCCGTGGCATGTGATTATTGGTCATGGTGCCTACCATAATGGTTCACTTGGGGTGGAGTCTGTGCTAGGATCTAGGAGAGTTCATATGATTTGTGGGCGGCATGTCGACATGGCATAGCTTGTCAGTACAAAGACGTTGGCCATTGTAACAGAGGGTAAGGTGTTGGTGGTGCACTAGCTAGGGGGTGTCACGAGTGCATTGTTTCGAAAACGAAAAGGGGAAGGGTGAGGTTTGCTTGTGCTTTCAAAGGCTTGATGGGTGAGATCTTCTTGGCCATGGATACAACTTTTTATGCATAAGAAGAAGAAACACACATGTACATTGCATCCTTTAATACAACAAATTACCTAGTACCTTCCTGAAAAAACATGCAAGGAAGAAAACTGGATACATAGTAAATTTGGTAGGCATGATCACAACTGCGTATATCAACTTCACAATCAATGAATGTTGCATCGAAGGCCACAAATTAAATAGATGGGAAAATGAGGATCACAATTGAAGATGCAAACCTCATCATTACTAACAAAAATTGATGCACTAAGAGGAAAGAGATGAAGTCACTTTCGGGGTACTCCGACCAGGAGAGCAACCTCAAACTGATTGCCCTTTCATGGTACATCCTATCTATCATGACATGTTGTTGTCAAAGTCTTGCAAAAAGATCACTAGAAACAAGTAAACATTCATCTTTTAGTACATACAAATCACCGTGCTTCACAAGGATTTACTGATAATTTTGGATGATCTTAGAAAGGGAGGAGTATGTGCCAACACCCGCACAACAGAGACCGACGACAATGATGAACACACATAGTACTATCTGCAAAGAAATAATACATTTGTTTATTAAATGGTGTCTTCAGATATTTGAGCTTTTAGTCCATTCTGCTAATATGCCTGATCAAGAACACAATGATATAATTTTGTGAAACTTTTGAATTTGTAGAGAATGGAGGCTGATGTGTTCCCCCTGAGAGATTCAGTGTTCATTTGAGTGAATAAAAAACCATGATTCAAAAGAAATGCTTAATTGATCAAAGTTGAAAATTAGGTGTATTTAAAATTTATGAACCAACTATGCATCATACATGCATTTCAATCCTCGATTCTCCCATACATGTACCACTTTTCCTTTTCATCGGAAATAATGTTTAACATGGTTATGGTCTAATAATATATTTAAGAGGACTTCTTGATAAGTGTTCGAACTAAGAAACAATTTTTTACCTGACTCCAAGTCACTGTACTCCTTAGGATGGCCAAAAAGCATGCACAAGGTAGAATATACGCCTAAAAAATGTCATGTGTTAGCCACAATAATCAACAAACAAATGGCACTGCTGCAGTACCGCTTGGCATGAGCGACAACAAACAAACGACACTAAAATTCTGAAGAAAAACTTACCACAAACATGGTGAGAAGAGACCCAACTAGGGACATCACAAGTCCTATAAAGGCGCGGTAAAATCAATTAAATCAGAATATTAGGAAAATCAGCAAGATTTAACTCAAAAATCAATTTTTACTCAAATGATAAGTAGTGATGAAAATATTTACCAAAGAATGGAACAGATAGAGCAACAACAAGGGAAGACAACACTAGTGCTGATCTGAGCATAATTATGTTCCCGTACGTCTGCCTATTCGAAGGCAGCAGCTCTTCCAAACTCAGGGCAAGAGGAGTCATGGTAAGTGCATATTTGGTTATTGGATTTGTCACCTGAAAGACACTGTCAGCATGATATGCTTTTTTACCTAACAAAAAGGAACCCTGCGTATTTAATATATTCTGTAAATCATGCTAGAGAAAGAAACCTAAAATTACACTGAAACAGAGAGCCATTTCATAACAGAACAAAAATGTACACTATCAATAAATGAACCATATGAACTTAATTTGCTAATCTAGACAAGAAAATGTACCGTAGTCCAGACTGCAATCTTGGAAGACATGAGATTTGGGGGCATGTTCAATGTGAACTGAGACTCCGTGGTTTCGCCAAACATTATGTACCCCATGACCGCGGCACCCGCGAACAGAACAGTAGATAGCGCAATGCTGACAATAAACACAACCCCTCCTGAGATCATGGATTGCTCCAACAATGTTGTGTTGTACATACATTGGTTTTGGTGTGCTTACCATGTGAAAAGAACAGCATTGAACTGGTTGCTTTTCTTGAGAGAAGAGTAGATGTTAGGGAACACCCCATGCCCTGAGTAGCAGTACCCATACAAGCCAATGGCAATGGGGATCCCAGGGAGGTTCAGTGCCGTCCCTTCGCTCTTGTTGACACCAACATGATCAACAAGCCCTGCCCAAAAGAGGCAGGCGACGATGACGATCGACGCAACGACTCCTCCAGCTACAGAATTCAGAATCACTAGAAGAGATCACATATTTGGTCAGATGATGAAACACATGAGCTGCTGGCAAATGAAATAATACCTGAAATGAAGCTTAGACAACTGAGGTCACGAAGCCAAGTTGTCGGCATGACAACGAGCGTGGTAAGGATTGCGAATAACACATGGGCATCCAGGCTGAAGCCCCCTATAGTCAGGTGTGCATTGGGGAACAACTTTGATAGATTGTCACTCTCCAGTATCAGATACTCAATGCAACAAGCCTGCAGGGAAAGAATTAGGAGCTATTGATATGCTTATAAACAGCGGTAATGTTCAAGAAACAACATGTCTTGAAAAATATTATACTTCTAGTGAAGTTTCTGTATGCTGGTTAGACTGTTAGACTCACTTCACTGTGTTATGCACACCATAAAAACAGAGTATCTAATAATGTACTCTGTCAAAGTAATAATATTTCTAAACAAGCAAGCCAATGTGTCATGAGAAGTACTTACATACAGTTCCATGTACAATATTATCTGCAGGTGTCAAAGACAAAGGTGTCAAGAATCGGCAGAAATTATCCTCCACTGTACTCTGTAGTCTGTACTGAAATGAAAATGAATTTCAGATTTGGCAGAAGTTATATACCGAGATGACGATGCGGCCAGGCGTGCCGAACGCGGCATGGCCGATGTCCGGGTAGGTCTCGAGGCCTTCCTTGCTGTCGAGGCAGCGCCGGAGGAGCACGCCGGTGTACCACGCGAGCACGGCGAGCACGGCCAGTATCACCAGCCCAAGCCAGCCACCCTGCCTGACGGCATAAGGTGTTGACAGGATCCCCACACCACACAGGACGTTCACTCCTGCAAGTGGCACACAATGATTTCAGATCCAGAAGTCCTAAACGGTGCAGGATGAAAACAGCAAGCTTGGTGTCCAAATTATATAGTTGATGAAAACCGGACTTAGCTTTGACTTCGAATTTGGAGCCATTTCAGGCGGAGCATTCATAAAATAGAAACTTTCAATTTCCAAAATTAGTAATTCTAATGTTCCAACTACTTGCAGGCCACAGGTGAAACTTTCAACTTGAAAAACAATTATTAACCTTTAAATCAGCTAATACTGGACATACAGAATGTTCAGTGACAATCCTGTTTTGTTAGAAGTTCAGACAAGAGTGGGCGACAGAGCTGTCTTACTCACAGAAAAGTTGCTAATGGACAGAAACATGAACAGATTAGTAAATTGCACACTTTGATAGTGGTAGACAGAGACGTCTTGCGAAATAATGGTCTTGACAGTGACAGTGACAGTTGGATATCCACATGACCAGCCCAGATTAGTAAATTGCATGATTTGATTAGGACAAGGTTCCTCTTTCTCCTGACAGATCTCAATCAACATGCCTGGGCTGCAATCATGGTCCAGTTAATCATTTTATTGATCATGACCATGTTCCCGGCTCACATGACACTGCTGTCCTGGCCCATCAGCCATGTGATGCAGGTCTACATCACAGGGAATTGGCCAGAATCTGATGGGCTAATCGGCAATTCTAGGTGTTATATTAACACTACAGCTGTGGAAACTCGTTCTTGGACAGAATCTGTACATTCAACCTGGGTGTCAGCATGTGGGGTGTGCGTCCAGGTTCAGCAAACATGGCATCTTTTTGTCATGGCATGCATGTTATCCAGTGTGAGCATCCTAGGTTGCAGATGCCAGATGGGATCTCTTAAATTGACTTATGTACTGTATCCTTCCATGTTAGCATGGCCATCTGGTGTTCAATCATATTTTCATTTTGATGTATTTTCATTAGTGAAACAGTGACATTTTTTGATTTATTTTTATTACTGGCTCTCTCAAACTAAATTCCAAGCCATTTTATAATCGATATATATCCTACCATCCAGTGGTAGTTACCCCACATGTCTCATATACTACCATATGGTAATATATATATGGCTTGGAATTTAGTATATATATATGTACGTATTTCATAAATATATATATATATATATGGAAAATCCTACCACCTGGGGGTAATTACCCCACATGTCTTATATACTACCATGTGGTAGTATATATTCTACTTTCTCATTTTAAATATGATCATATACTATATATAAGATACTCCAAAGTGAGTTACATGAAAAAATTACAAGTTGGCTCATGGTTTTTATTATATTTATGAAATACGTACATATTTGTACGTAAAAGTGAGCATACTCAAAATACGATACATACTATCAAAAAAATAGTATATATACTACCTAAATATACTTATATACTACATACTACGCGTACATACTCTCCAATTTGATAGATAGTACATACAACATACAAAACTCAAGTGGTGGTAACTACCACTGGTGGTAGATAATATTTGTCCTATATATATTTTCCTTGTTACTATATTTTTTTCTCACATAGGCGAAAAAATGATGATCTCAAACCCTGGTTTTTATCCAACTGAAACTGGCTACTTTCATTAATTTGCAACCTACATTTCTCTGCAACTCTGGATCTCACAATGTGCAATTTGGCTGACTGTTATTCTTCATCAATTTTAAGAATTGCTATTTTTCTTCAACTCAGATGAATTTCGAGAGCAGTCTGCCTTCTATTCGTGAGTTTTTTTTGCGTAAATAAAAGAACATATGCACGTACCATTCAAGACGCCCTGGGTGTAGGAGCACTGACGGTAGGGCCCCACCTCATGGCCACCCCCACCGCCAGCAGGCTTTTGGTCCTCGGGGATCTTGAACAGGGATGACGCCTTCCTCGACGGCGGCAGGTAGTGGTGAGAGCTCTTCCGGGCATCATCGACATGGTCATCTTCGGTGGCGGCGATCAGGGTGGTGGGCAGGAGCGGCTTGACGATCTCCGGTGGTTGCTTCCCCCGGAAGGAGGTGGCGAGGAAGGAACTGGAGAGCCTGCTGAGCGTGGGCGTGCCCAGGAACCCACTCAGGCTCGGCGACTGCACGCTGCTGTAAATGTCCATCGACTGCCTGCAACGCCAAACCAAAGAAGATCGCAACGGTTGTTACTGAATCGTGCATGGAGATTGTGCAGCAGAACATCTCTTCGTAAATTTTATGCAGAGCAAATGGATCAAGAACAAAAAAATCTGAGTTAACTCGATCAGTTTCTCATGAAAAGAAACAAACAAAAATGATACTAACTCTTTGTTCTGATCTTCACTCTAAGGGCCACTTCTTTTGGGCAATTCTCCGAGAATTGACCCCCTTCCAGCTTCTCCCAGAATTGGCACTCTATATTTTCTTACAATTCCTAGCTAATTAGCTCTTAACTAGCTAGGAATTGTAAAAAAAGATGAAGTGACAATTCTGGGAGAAGCTGGTGAGGGGGTCAATTCTCGGAGAATTGCCCAAAAGAAGTGTAATAAGTACATTTGCTTCGACAGATGATGAGACCAACTGAAGTTGCCACGTCGGCAGACCTATCCACCATGGACCCACGCGCACAGAGACATCTAGCAAACGAACAAAACGTGGCCCACCAGCCGCTGTGAGGCCCACATGTCAATGCCCCCCTACACTCGCACACGCCATCCGCAGTTTCGTCTGCTCGTGGGTCCTCCCTGGCCTGGACTTAGAAACTAGTGATGTGCATAGAGTTGTGTTTAGAATCTCTCCTGATTAAGGCTAAAATTTCAAACATCTCGTTATTTCGATGTGTCAAATTCATATGCTTATCGCAACAATACAGTACGTAAATGCTGCTTAACAGAAAATGTTACCATAATGCTGATTGGTGAGATTTTTATAAATACGTAGTATTTTATACATGGTCAGGAATGTTTGAGATGCATATGCAAAAATAGCACTACTGATTAACAAGGAAATGTTATTAGAAGGATAAAGAAGAAGCTCTGCATGATGCAGCTGGGTGTGGCCACCGCTGCGTACGCACGCACCTGTAGCTCTGCGGCCACTGGTGGCTGGCGTAGGAGCCAGGGTGGCCACCGCCGGCGGCCTCGACCACCCGCGGCCGCGGGCTCCCGCACGACGACGACCCGTCCGACTCCTCCTCGCTGCCGCCCAGCTGGTGCTCCTCGTCGTCGCTCTCCATGGCGAAGCTCTGATCCGACACCGAGTTCCTCATCGCTGCCCTCAAGCTTGGTTAGCGGCAATGGCCGACGGGCCGAGCAGAACAGAGAGGGAACGAGAGAGAGAGGGAGCGGGAGATGGTAAAGTGTGAGGAGAAGAATGAAGGAGCGAGAGGGGGTCGTGGGTGTTTATACACAATGGCACACGGATTAAACAAACCAGTTGTACTAATATGTATTTTCAGATGCGCGAGGTTGAATATTCGGCAGGTTCCTCGTCGCTCGCTCGCGCTGATCTAGGCCTCACATGTCAACGTCAGTTTGGTAGCACAAATTTGTGGTGCAGGGGAAACCAGGAACATCGACGTTGTGTATTTAGGGCATCTCGAACGCTGACCCCTACACTTCCTCCCGCATCTGTCCGTAAACAAAGAGTACCAGTATGTGGACATGGATGCGGGAGCCGGTCATCCAACAATATCCGCATGCATTTTGAACCAAGTTTAAACAAACCAGACAAATGCAAACGGGATGTTATTCATACAAACCGAAGCACATTCATTACATTTCAGACCATTTAAAAAAGAGGGACCTAAAACTAGACTGGCGGCATTCGTAGACCGCGTCCTCCATGTGCCATCTTCATGAGCGGCGACGACAAGACCCATGGAGTGAAGGTGCAGTCTCCGGTGAGAAAAAGTAGAACATGGGTAACAGACCGGCCTACTTGGGACACAACGCCTTGACGCCTCGCATGCTCTACTCATCCTCGGAGGAGTCCGCGATCATGAGGTCCACGATGGTAATGGAGAGGCCGACGCTCTCATAGTCCCACCGGCGCGTCCGAAAGTTCATTGGCGGCGCGTAGGACACGCGGCTATCCGTCTCATCCTGTCTAGTAATCGTCTCTCTGGCATTGAACAGGTGGGAAGACCGGGGGGCGTGGCGCGGGCGGTGCCCTCGGCCGGCGAGTCGCTTCAATGTTGGCGCGAACGAGAGCGGTCTCATCCGTTCCGGGCCAGTGTCAATGCAGAGCGGCCGTTCTAAAGCGGCGTGAATGCGGCAGCTAGCTTCGGGCGGGAAAGCATGCGGTCCAAGAGGTTTTTTTGGTGAATCAGGATAGTCAGGAGCGGACGTGACAGCGGTCCAGACACCCGTAAAGTCCTCTAGTTTATCTCTGGTTTGTGAAAAAAACACGTCCGGACCGGCCCGCGGACCGATACAGATCCATGTTAGACGGCAAAATACGTTTGAACCGCGCGGTTCGTGATGCGGATGGTCGCAGGTGGTTTGAGGGGAGATGCCCTTATCTCGATCGGATTGAAATGTGGAGATGTGCATCTTCTGTGGATAGTGTTTGATTAGTCGTGTATCAAAGGAAAGGACGCCGGCCGGCCAGGAATCAAGTGCCCTTTGCGGCTACGACGGGGTTCTCTTTTGATTCTGCAGGCAGCGTCCAAATGAGAGAGAGGTCCTGTTACGTACGGTGAGTGTGACGGCCGGATGGTGGCTCCTTTGTACGGTCGTCGTGCACCAGGCATTGCGATGGTCGATCAGTGGTCACTAGAGACGGGCTGGACGGACGGGCTGTGCTGTAGCAGGGTGCACATATGAACCACAGGGCAGGGGAACCTTCTCTGTCGCCGGAAGGCCGGATCTTCAGCCTTCTTCATCCATGGATCTATCTATATCCAGGATCTCTTGGCCACGGAAAGAGGAAGAATTTGCATCTGGATAATTACGACGGTGATGCCATGCGCGCCCCGGAAGGGCTTTATAGGTCGATCGGCCGATATATTGCATATATACTTAGAGCATCTACAGCGGAGCATCCCAAACTCGCCTCAAACGTTTGGACGGGCGGATTCGTCACCGACCGATCACGAAAATGCGACCCAGACGAGCGTCAGATGGGTCTCAAACGGCCCGACTAACCGGCACCCCTCGTATCCAGCCCAAAATGAGGCGTATATGGGGGCACCTGGGCGAGTCCACCACGTCGGACCCGGCCTATACGCTGGCCCACCCAACCCCACATACATTTCCTCCCATCCGCTTGCCGGACCAAATCTTAGTCACTTCACTCCATTCTTCTTCACTCTCCTCTGCCACCCAAGTTACCGTCCGGCGATCTCCGGCATGGCAGAGAGTATATCCGAGTCCTCCACCTTCAAATCCGTCGACCCTGAACTTATTCCATCGGGCCCGAGGACGAGATGGCCGTCTGGCTTGCGCTCCGCCGCTCCCGGGAGGAGGCTCTCGCACGGACTCATTCCGTCTGGAATCCATTCTGTCAGCCCAAATGGCGCATGGATCTGGCGCTAGGTGTGCCATCGTTGCCTCACGGGAGGCAGTGCGGTCCGTCTGGCGTCCGAGTACGGTGGTGGACGCGCAACCCCTCTGTTGGGGTGCCAAGGCCACATACGCACCATGGGCGTCGTCCGACGAAAACATGGCGTGGCTGCGCCCGCCGTGCGAGGCAGCGAGCGCAGGATGTGGCGGCAGTCCTAGCGACGGTGGACGTCGGCGAGGCGGAGTCGCATTCTCCGGCGCATCGTATGGTGCACAAGTCCGGGCGCCGCAACCGCGTCGTGGTGGATGTCGCCGGCTCGTCCCAGGACGGATCCATCATCGATCTGACGTCCATCGGCACCGTTTAGGTTCCGGGCTCTGACGAGGAAGAGCAGGGCATGGGAGACGGCGGCGCCTTGAGTGCCGTGAGCCGGCTCGTGTCCCATGCCTTACTCTACCTTGCTGGCGACCGAACTAACATTTTGGGGAGCACAGCCGGCTGCCGGACATGAGCGCGGCGGAACCGGGCGAGCTATGCTTAGATTAGGTTTCACGTCCGTTTGTAAAATAAAATATTTAAGACGTGGCTGGTAACTGTCCGTGGACGTGCCCGATCGCGTCCGCAGGCATTTGAGGGCTCGACTGTAGATGCTCTTACACCAATCTTCAATGGATCCAAACATATTTGCTGGCTCAGACGGCTAGCTGCCTAGCTAATAATGGTACCGATTTGTTCTTTCGTATCGATCCCTGCAGATTATGCCCAAATTATGCGCATCCGCTGGAACATGTGCCAAACTTAATCCATCCATGTGAACAAACTCTGTAACACTATCCGGCAGCTCACCTAGCTACAGTACTACTAGTATTTTCCACGCATGAGTCAGCTAGAAACAGACCTGAGAGACCGAGAAGACGGCCGGGACGAAACTGCCTGTCCACATGGCTTCACGTGATACGTCGCTAATTGTATAATACCATCACATGCATGCCTCGTTGTCCTATATATATTTTTCTTTTTGTTAATTCCACCTCTTGGCAGTGGACAACACTGCATTATTTTAGGACTTGATTGACACACCAGCACTAACCACATGCCACTGCTTGATTAGGCATGCATGCATGGATGTAAAACAGTGGGCACGATCCATAGACGCTTGTATGCATTGCACACCGGCTAGCTGCTTCTCACGACACCCTCGTATGGTTCCCACTGTTTTTCAGTCCATGTTGAGGTAGTAGCTGGGATCGTGGATGCCATCGCGGCCGAGGACTCTTCTTTTGGACTACTAGACCAATAGTATCACATTTACCGAAAAAGACTTTCACCCCGTTTTATATATAAAGCATCGACCAACAGCAATCCAGTACAAACGCACGCCACCACAACACACGCACACATCCAAGGCAAGATACATAAGCACTGAGCGCAGCAACACCACCCCAAGCACTACAAGAGCATCCGGGTCCTCGACCGCGAACACGCCACCGCGAAGAGATGAAGCTGCATATGACGAACCGTGGGCTTCAAGGCGGTGCCTTCACGAAGGATACGACACCGGAGCGCCGCCACCGCCCGACCCGAGAGTCAGAGTTTCCCCTAGAGCAACGCGACGGGTAATGATGACCGCGACGACGCCTTCAAGAAGGGAGCGAGCTTCGCCTCCGCCGATCTGTCCGAAGATAGAACAAATTTTCACCCCGACCTATACTCACCGCCACCGAACGCCACACCCCGGCGACCATGCCGCCCACACGACCATGGTCACTGGGCAGCACCAAGGCATGAACTTTGCCCATGAGCACCGTCAAACCACCACCAGGGCCGCCGCCCCGGCATCCAAGACCTCGACGCCACCTCACCAGTTACTCAGCGCCACGCCACCTATAGAGACGGGTGGAAAGGCCCCGCCTTCCGCATCCCTGAGCTGCCCCCAACTGGCCGCCATCGGCCCATCCCGCTGCCGGGTGCGAGACGGGTGCGGTCCTGCCACTGGGCGCGAGACGGGCGATATATCACAGCTGAGAAAAGCCCAGTCCTTTGACAGAAGTGGTGCGTGGGCGACGGGGAGAGGAATCGAAGTCCGCCGCACGCCGCCTATGGACGAACCGACGCCGAAACATGTCAGACGCCGCCGCAGCAGACATGCCAAGCTGCCGTGGATCCCTCCACGGCCGGAGCAACAGCCACACCAGGCCACTGCCCATCCCGCGCCGCCCGCCAGACTCCAGGCATTGAGTCCGCCGGGCACACAGCCAGCAGATCGACAGCCATCCCCGACCCTCGACCCACACCACCACCTCCCTCCGGTCGCTGAAGAAGAGCATGGGAAGGCCGAGGCCGCCACTGCTGCGCCGCCACCTCCGCCAGTCGGCTGCCACGGCGAAGGAAGCCACCCGCAGCCCTCACCGCCCGCAGCCCGCTCCTATCGGATCTGGATCGAGCCGACGCCGTCACCACACCAGCCGAGCACCACCGAACCACCGCCCGTCACGCCACCAGCACACCCACGCGCCATCACCTGCGCCAATGAGGGGCCGTGCCGCGGCGCCCCGCGAGAACGCCACGACCAGATCCAGGTCGGCCGGCCCGTGTCAGCCCTCCCGCATGAGGCGACGAAGATGCCCCCCCCCCCGCCGCCGCCGC